AGTCGCTCCGAAACGTACCCTCAAGTCTCTGGCAAATTAATAAAGGCGCGCGTATCAAGGAGGATAGATATCTTATTTAGTCTTCTATAAAAGGTAACTGAGTTGAGACAATTTAATTAGGATCAGTACCATTTTCTCAACGTTCTTCAACTCTCGATTTTCCTCAACATGCCGGTCAGTGAAGTTTCTTCATTGTACATCGAAGGGTGAAGAATTGAGAAATGGGTCCTGATCCTCATGTTGTCTTTGAGGGCGTGCTCTCATTAACCGTCGTAGCCTCCTCAATCTAGTATACCTCAGAAGTCCAAGCACTCGCCCTGGAGATCCCACGTCTGCCCAGGCACATGGTCACCTCACATTGAAAGCTAAAAACATTGGAAGCTGAAAAAGTTGTTGGTGACCATGTGTTTGGGAAGACGTGGAATCTCCGGCGAATTGCTTGGTCTTCCGGGGTTTACTAGATTGAGGCGCCTACGACGGCGAGAGGGAGCACGCCTTCAAAGACAAAGGTGCTTGTTCTTCCGGGGTATACTACTTTTTTTATCGGAAGTCAGACCATTGATATAAATCCCGTTTTCCATTTTCTTCAACTGGTGTACAAAATTCACTGGCAAAGACAGATGTGAAAACGGAGATTGAAAGTCAAACAAAGGATGGCGATTTCGTTCAACTCACAGACCTATCCCTTCTAACAAACAATGACGAAAAGATCTCGTACCTCCTATGCAAAGACCCCCAGACTCCTCAGCCCAATTCTTCCGCTCATCCTCAGTCGTCCACTTACGAGAGTCGGACTGCTATATAAAGAAACGGTGAACGTAGTACTGAGGTTTAAGTAGTACCTCATATACAAGAGGGCTTAAAGATTCAAAGCATACTGGACAATCCAGAACTTCGGGCTCGGTTATGGTCACTGAAACTTGTTACTGAACGTAGCACGGGGTAAAGCAGTAGTTGAGTTGATATAAAGTAGTTGAGTCGATGTAAAATTGCGACATGCATACGTCGCATAGCATTCGCCTAATTGGTGCATAATTTATATTATGAAAAAATTTTCAATGTAAAGTAGTTGAGTCGATGTAAAATTGCGACATACATACGTCGCATATTATTCGCAGAATTGGTACATAATTAATTACAATATTTATTTTTTGGAAAGTTCTTTGTCTGTGAATTAAATATAAATTAAATACTACGTCGCATATCATTCGCAGAATTGTTGCATAATTAATTATAATATTTATTTATTTTTTAGAAAGTTCTTTGTCTGTGAATTAAATATAAATTTAAGACTACGTCGCATATCATTCGCAGAATTGACGCATAATTAATTATAATATTTATTTTTTTGGAAAGTTCTGTCTGTGAATTAAATATAAATTTAAGACTACGTCGCATATCATTCGCAGAATTGGTGCATAATTAATTATAATATTTATTTTTTGGAATGTTCTTTGTCTGTGAATTAAATATAAACTGAAGAATATTGTTGATATCCGGATCAGTCCCACTCAAAGTCAACGGACCGGCCCGGATAACCAAGGGCCGATTCATGTGACGGAAATAAGTGCTGAGCTGGATGGGTACGAAATATGATCACGACGGACCTCCGAGCCTCGAACCGGATTGGCACCCTCTACAAATGGTGTCGACCTGGCTAAGGGCCGAGTAAAGAAGATCGTCTGAGGGGGCCTAGGAGAACCCGATGGATTTGGGTGCCGACCTGGGCAGGCAGTCGGACATTTCCGAAGAAAGATACGAGCTCGAAAGAATATAATAATACAAGTGGCTGGGCAATGATCGCAGACAGGACAGGCCGACCTAGTCTACCTCCCCTAGAGGATCTAGCCAAGAAGAAAAGCTGATAGCATTAAATGCTGCCCATGTGAGCATTTAATGCCCACATAAGTAATGATTGGAGACCTCAAATCACATTTAATGATCTGTCAGAAAAGCGCCGACCAGGACTGCAGAATCACTGTGCGATAAGACAGCGAATAGTGCCAAAACAGTGGAATTAAATGACACTATAAATAGACCATTGCTTCATTTATTTTGGGGTTGTTGAAACCTCAACTAACTCTAGCTTCCTTCTACTTTCACTCTCTAAAATGTAAGAAATCTCTTGTAAGAATCATAAGTATATTGCAAGTGCCGACCTCGTACGAGAGGCCGACCTCGCAACCGTTTAATAACTATCGTGATTAAATCATATCTTTCCTTTATTTTCAGTCCTACAGTTTCAATATATTCCATTTTAACCGTTGACCGAAAACGCTCGTCAATAGTATGGCGCTAGAAGGAGGGCCCCATAAGTTACTTGGTGTCAACGTTTTCGACCTGGTGTTTAACACTACATAGTATTTTCTTCCGTTCCCAATCATCTCCGATCCGAGACTCAGCCGGATATGACTTCATCCACTCGCGACGAGTCAACACAGCAGTCCGGCGCTCAGTCTCGCCGGCACAACGGCGAGGGGACCTCCCGCCGTGTCCAACAGGGAACTCAACCCCCTACTCCTCCAGTCCCGACCTTCGCGGAGGCCATGCAGCACCCCGACGTCCTCAAAGCCCTCGAAAGGGTCTTCGCAAGGGCGGTCGCTGGTCAAGCGGCCGGGGGCAACACCGTGGCGGCCACGAAAGACCCCGGCAACACACTACTTCAAACCCCCGCCAAGGAGGCGGACGGACAAAAAAAAAAAAGAAAAAACCCGCCAAATCCAAGACGACAGCCCAGTCACCCAACCGCGCCGCCCTAGAACGGCGCGAGAAGGGAGCCGGCCCGACGCCCACCGAGTAGACTGGTGAAAGTCAGCCAGATCGGAGCTTACAGGTCATTCGCCGCTCCGTATACCAACGCCTCGGCGACAAAAGCAAGGCTAGTCGGGACCTCAGGGAGGTCATTGAACGGGGAAAAACTATTGGAGGTGACGCAGACGAAGTCGCGGCCCTTAAGCGTAGAATCGCAGAAGTGGAGGGCCGGCACCACACTCAAAGCGAGCCTTCACCTCCGCTCCTTCCACCTCCCTCCTTCTCAAGACCAAGTCCCTGGATCGTGGACCACGCCTCACCTCTCTCTCCTGACATATTGCAAGAACCCGTCCCTCAGAAAATCAAAGTCCCCCAGCTCGGACTCTACAATGGGAGCTCGGATCTGGACTCCCACATCGGCCTCTACACCTCGTGGATGGACCTGCACGGCGCCACTGACGCTTTGCGCTGTCGCATGTTCTCGCTGACACTGGGGCCCAAGGCGCAGAGGTGGTACCACTCTCTGTACCCCCACTCCATCTCCACGTGGGGGCAACTCAGGGCGGCGTTCCGGTCACACTTCATCGGGTCGCAGATCAACCTCGCCCCCAAGGAGTCCATCGCCAACATCGTCCAAGGTGAGGACGAAAGCTTGAAGGATTACATTACCCGGTTCAACGACCGAGTCCAAAACATGGAACAATGCCACCCAGAGGCGCTGCTGATCTCGGTACAGGCCAGCCTGAAGCCGAAGACTCTGTTCAAATGGTCCCTTTGCCAAAACAAGCCAACCACATACCAAGAATTTCTTGTCCGCGCCCAAAATTACATCATGGCCGAAGAATACTCATCCATCCCGGTGCTCGACGCCGCATCAAACAAGGGAAAGGCGAAGGATGAAAAGTCAGGAAAATCAGGCAAATCATTTGCTGAGATCCGAGCCATGAGGAGGCAGAAGGCGGAGGAACTCAATGAAACCTACCAAGGCGTCTTTTCGGTAGGTGTCGCGGCCATCTACGAGGAGATTAAGACCAAAGGATTGTTGCCAGACCCAAAACCAATGTTTACTGATAAAGATAAGGTGGACAAATCCCGGTACTGCACCTACCACAAGGCGCATGGGCACAATACCGACCAGTGCCGTAACCTGATCTCGGCATTGCTTAAGTTAATCGATGACCTGCAGGTTAAAAGGTTTACCCACTCAGGAGAGAAAAGGAAGAAGGGAGGCCGCTTTGAAGATGGTCTTGACAGTGATGATGATGCCAACGAGAACCCTCGAAGGAAGAAGCCGCAGCAGGGCGGCCCCAACGAGATCTTGACATTCAACCCGGCCCATCAGGGTGAGGTCGGAACTTCGAGGGAGAGAAAGCGAAATCGGTCCCTATTATCAGGGGCCGACCAGGATTATTCCCAACCCCGTCGCGTGAACACTAGCCGAGGTGAATCCCTCCTGTCGAGAAGACAGACCAAGGCTTACGCCCGGCAGGCCTATCACGCCGGGCAAAGGGTGATTCATGCTGGGAGCAGACCAGCACCTGAACCGACCCCCAACAAGATTTCATTCACTGACGAGGATGCCTTCCTTTTTGACCACCCCCACTCCGACGCTTTGGTCATCACTGCGCCTATCATGGCAATCAAGATCCATCGCATTATGGTCGACACTGGGGCCTATGCAAGCATCCTCTACTACAACACTTTCAAGAAGATAGGAATAGATTCAAAGGACGTGCAACCATGCCGAGAACGGATCCAGGGCTTCAACGGACAAACGACTACCCCGGTCGGCCAAGTCACACTGCCGATCCGATTCGGAGAAAAGGGGCAACTCACGAGAACCATCCTCGAGACCTTTAAAATCGTGGACTGCCAAAGCGAGTACAATGCCATCATAGGCAGGACGACACTTTATAACCTGAGAGGTGTCGTCTCCATCTTTCACTATTCCATCAAGTTCCCAACCTCAGACGGGGAAGGGACACACCGAGAAGACCAGAGGGAAGCTCGGGAGTGCGTTATGACCATTCCACGGTTGGAGATAAATACCGCCAACCCCGTTTCGGATACCGAGGTGGCGGCTGTCCCCAACGAAAGCACCGAACCGGTGTCTGACGGAACATGGGGCAACCGCATGCTGGGAAACCAGATTGGTTCGCCTCCTTTGTCTGAGATAAATTTCGATATGGTCAGCGCGAGTGCCGAGATCAACCCAAGTCCAGGGGCCGAGCAGGCTCGTTACGATCTGAGGGACGACCGCACGCTGAGCAATCAGACAGGTCTGCTCCCTCAGGTAGAGGACGACGCCGACCAGGCGGGAGAAGGATCCGGTGCCGACCTGGACCAAGATAAGGGCCGGAGAGCCGGGAAGGAGCCGGTCATGGAAGAAGATGAGCTCGACCCCCGCACGCAGTACGAAGAGAAGCGAGGGACCACAAGAGCTGAGCCGATGGACGAAGTTGAGATCATTTTCATCGATGAAGAAACTTGTCAAAAGCAACTCCAGATTGGGAGCAGGTTACCGGAACCGCTGAAGGCCGAACTAACCAAATTCCTAGGGGAAAACGCGGATGTTTTTGCATGGACCCACGAGGACATGGTCGGCATCGACCCGAAAGTCGCCTGCCACAGACTTCAGGTCGACCCCACGGTCAAACCCGTGGTGCAAAAGCGGAGAAAGCTTGGCCCTGATCGCCAACAGGCCCTCGAGGAGGAGGTGATAAAGCTGAAGGACAACGAATATATCCAGGAGGTCCGATACCCGACCTGGGTTGCCAACCCAGTCCTCGTGAAAAAGAGCAACGGGGTGTGGCGCTTATGCATAGACTTTTCCGATCTGAACAAGACGTGTCCTAAAGATTGCTACCCCTTGCCCCACATCGATTATATGGTGGACGCCACCTCGGGACACGAACTGATGAGCTTCATGGATGCGTACTCAGGATACAATCAAATACCCATGCACCCCGACGACGAGGAGCACACATCCTTCTACTCGGCACGCGGGCTCTACTGTTACACAATGATGCCGTTCAGAATGAAGAACGCCGGGGCGACCTACCAACGTCTTGTTAACAAGATGTTCGCTAGTTTGATATGTGTGAGCATGGAGGTGTATGTAGACGATATATTAGTCAAATCCGTGTACGCGTCTGATCATGTTAACGATCTCACTAAAATGTTTTCTATTTTGCGTGATTATTCGATGAAATTAAATCCCAAAAAATATACGTTCGGTGTCGGGTTCGGGAAATTCCTGGGGTACATTGTTAGCCAACGCGGCATCGACGCGAACCCCGAAAAGATCCGGGCAGTGCAAGACCTCCGACCACCGACCTCGATCAAGGGAGTCTAGAGTCTAACCGGCAAACTCGCTGCCCTAAGTCGGTTCATCTCCAAGTCGACGGATCGGTGCAAACCCTTTTTCGACGCCATCAAGAAAAATCACAAGTTTGAGTGGACCCCAGACTGCCAAAAAGCACTAGAAGCCATTAAGGACACCCTCTGCCGGGCTCCAACGATGCAAAAGCCCCGCCCAGGAGAAACGCTCTATCGTTATCTGGGAGTATCCGAAGTGGCCGTAAGTGCCGCCCTGATCCGGGAGGAGCACTCTTGTCAATACCCGGTCTACTACGTGAGCAAGGCACTCCACGATGCCGAGCTGCGTTACGCACCTATGGAGAAGCTCGCTTTCGCGCTGGTGACTGCTGCCCGGAAGCTGAGGCCATATTTCTTTAAGTATTCAATCGCTGTTCTCACCTCCTACCCCATTAGACAGATCCTACACCGGCCGGACACTTCCGGTCGGATGATGAAGTGGGCGGTAGAGCTGGGGCAGTATGACATCCATTACCGACCCTGAACAGTAATGAAGGGGCAGGTACTCTCGGACTTCATAGCTGAATTCACGTCGGGAATTGAAGAAGCAAGAACTGAGGAGCCATGGGCGATGTACGTGGACGGGTCCTCCACTGCCGGACGAGCAAGCGGAGGAGTCGTGCTCGTAGATCCCCAGAAGAAACTCTTATGTCATTCGGTCCAGTACCTTTTCCCAGCTACCAACAACGAAGCCGAATACGAGTCATTGTTGTCCGGGCTCGGCCTGGCAGAAGCCATGAACTTAACCGACCTCATTATATATTCCGACTCCATGTTGATGGTCAAGCAAATCTCGGGAGAATTCGAAGTTAAAGAGCCGAGACTGGTCCCCTACCTGGGGCTGGTGAGGAAGAAACTAGCCAAGCTCCAAACTTGGATTGAGCACATTTCCCGGACAGAGAACGTGCAGGCCGACGCCCTGGCCCGCCTCGCCTCAAGTGCCGGGGAGGAAAGCGTTGAGTACGTTCAAGTAGGACACAAAGAACAACCTTTTGTGCTCGGCACCTCTGTGTTAAGTGCCGGGCAGGGGGGAGAAGACCAAGACCCGAACTGGATGGTCCCGATCCGGTCGTATCTCGAGACGGCTCGTTGCCGTCTGACCCAAAAGAGGCCAACAGCTTCGTACCCGGGCAGCCAAGTTACGATCGTGGCCGGTGAACTATTCAAGCGGGGTTACTCAGCACCCCTACTCAAATGTGTAGGTGAAAAGAGTACCGAGCTCATACTTAAGGAAATCCACGAAGGCGTATGCAGGAACCACTCCGGAGGATACACCCTCGCTCATAAGGTCCTCAGGCAGGGCTACTACTGGCCGAGTCTGAAAAAGGACGCCTTGGATCTGGCCTGGAAATGCACGAAGTTCCAGACCTTCGCACCTAACATCGTTCAACCGTCTCAACCCCTGAAGTCGATTTTCAGCCCATGGCCATTCGCCAAATGGGGCGTAGACCTAATCGGCCCCCTACCCACAGGAAAGGGCGGAGTGAAGTACGTTGTTGTCGCCGTTGACTACTTCACAAAATGGACAGAAGCCAAGCCGCTCGCCACTATAACCGAGCAGAAGATGATAGACTTCTTGTGGAAGTCCATCATATGCAGATTCGGGGTCCCAAATTCGATAATCACTGACAACGGCAAACAATTTGAAGGGAAAAAGTTAGAAACATTTTGTGAAGAGTATAACATCAAGCACTTCTTCTCAACTCCTTATCATCCGCAATCGAACGGTCAAGTCGAGGCCGTGAACAAGATCATCAAGCAGGGCCTCAAGGTCCGACTTGAAGCTGCAAAGGGAGGTTGGCCTGAAGAGCTCCCGAGTGTACTCTGGGCCTATCGAACCACTGCCAGGTCGTCAACTGGCGAAACACCATTTTCCTTAGCGTACGGGTCCGAGGCGATGATACCAGTCGAGCTCGGCGCCCCGACATTCCGGGTAATTAGCTTCAAGGAAAAGTCCAACTCCGAATCGCTAAGAGCCAACCTGGACCTAATTGACGAACATCGAATGGGTGCCGAACTTAAGAACGCGGCATACAAAAGGCGAAGCGAGAGATATATCAAATCCCGCGTCAAACCACGCTCATATCAGGTCGGTGACTTGGTACTCAAAAGGGTGACGGGGCCTGACCCCGGGCCCCTCAAGTCGAAGTGGGAAGGGCCGTACAAGATCAGCGAGGTCCTCCCACACGGGGCCTACCGCCTCGAACACCTCGACGGCACCCCCCACCAATACCCATGGAACTCGGCATTCCTAAAAAAGTTCTACCAATAGGTTTAGGGCGATCCCTTGTAATTACTTTATCACTTTTTGTGAGGAAAATGTAATTTTTTATCATTATTAATTCCGATAAGGCAGAAGGTTTTAGCATAGATCGAGTCGAAGCAACGTAATTAAACGTAAGGAACGAAGTGTCGGCCGAGACCAGTACGATGGCTCGGTCGGCACTAGCCGGGCTCAACTAGGAAGCCCGGACAGGCCTACAATACCACCGAGTCCGAACACGAGACCGGTCGGGAAAGCTGCCATATAATTATGTGTCGGTTGGGTCAGTACGATGGCCTGGCCGGCACAAGCCGGGCTCGGCAAAGTAGCCTGGTAAGGCCAAAGCTGCCAACTATAAGGAATGAAAAACAACCTCAAGCGCGTAGCTCGACTGGCCCAAACCTCAAACCGACTCAGTGAAACAGTTCGGACAGGTAATGCGGCCAAGTGATGAATCAGCGCCGGGCTCAACCACGAGCTCGGCCCCATAACTAATAAGGTCGAGCCCGATCACGAGACTCGGCCAAGTAATGAACCAGCGCCGGGCTCGACCACGAGCTCAGCTCCGTAATTAATAAGGTTGAGCCCGATCACGAGGCTCGGCCAAGTAACGAATCAGCGCCGAGCTTGACCACGAGCTCGGCCTCGTAATTAATAACGTCCGACCACAAGCTCGGCACCCCAAACGAGCTTGGGAGAACTCAATAAAAATAACAAAGTAAAAAAAGGAAAAAGCAAGGACAAAACCCATTCAAAAAGCCAGAGCGGCAATGACAAAGTACTTT